GAAAATACCCATAGTAAAAAAGTACCAAAGGTTAAAGATTCGCATAGTAAAAAATACGCAAATTAAAAAAAACAGAAGGTAAAAAATTCACATAGTAAAAAATACGCAAAGTAAAAAAAAACAGAAGGTAAAAAATCCACATAGTAAAAAATACGCAGAGTAAAAAAAACAGAAGGTAAAAAATACGCAAAGTAAAAAAAACAAAAGATATAAAATTCTCACAGTATATATAAATAATTAAATATTGAGGGTAAAAAATGCAAAAATACTGAAAAATTCCAATATTCCTGCGTTTATTACATTAATAATAATTGCTTTGTTTACATATACATACACACAATATGAATATTATTTTTAAAAGACGCTTTAATTTTTGCAAACCTTTGACTTGCGTGAGAGGTCACACACATAACAAACACTCACGGCGCCCACAGGTTGTGGGTTAATCTTATTGCAGATAGTTTGTCGACCATTGGGAGGGTTCAGCTTTCCCTTTTGACCCGTAAATAATTTTTCATTCAAATTGATACCTGACGATCGTATAGCAGCCACACAAACACAAATACATAAAATACCTTGTTTGTATTCAATAGCGAGGAAAAAATATAGTCACTATAAAATAAAAATACGAATTGATGAAATAGCAATTCTCTTTCGTATTAAATTATTTTGCATTGCCGTAATAGTATAAGTAACCTTCCAAGATAACGTCAATTTTCAAGTAGGCAATAATTTTCAAGAAGAAGAAGAAGAAGAAGAAGAAGAAGAAGAAGAATATTTAAATTATTTTAACTATATTTACTTTTCTAATTAACTTTAATTTTTATTTCATTTTCATTTTATACTTGTATCAAATTTCAATTTCATTAAAATTCAAATTTTCATATAAAAAATAACAAAATTATAAAATATAGTGTAAAATAAATGTTTGTGATTAATGTATTTTCTAAATGTTGCTTTTTGACCTAAATTTTACAATTTTTCTGTTATTTTGACCTTTTTTTAAATTTTTACTTTTTGTAAAAAGTAAAAACAGGTAAAGAGGAAAAAAACCTTTTTCATTTTGATAAAATTAATGAATTCTGTCAAAACAGAAATGGAATTTTTAACTTTTTTCCTTCAAATGTTGACCTAAATTTTGGATTTGACCTAAAATATAAATCTATTTTCTCAATTTGACCTTCCCCTAAATTAAAAATTTGTGTGCATTTTGACCAAATAAAAATGATCTTCTTACTCTTTTGACATAAATTTTTCCTTTTCAGGTTAATTTGAAATCTTTTTGTTATTTTTACGTTTTTCTAAGTTTAAAGTTTGTTTGTAAATTTTGTCTTTTGAACTTTGACCAAATTATATACGAATTTTGACCCAAATCCTGCCTTTTGACCTAAATTTAAAATCTTTTTTTATATTGTTATCTTTTTTTAAATTTGAAATTTGTATGAATATTGACCTAATTAAATAGGTCTTTTGTCTCTTTACCTACGAATTTTGACCCAAACCCCACCTTTTGACCTGAATTTAAATTCTTTTTTAATATATTCACCAGTTTCTAAATTTGAAGTTTGTACGAATATTGTCCTAATTTAAAAGCTATTTTCTCCTGCTTACCTGCACAATTTTTGACCTAAATCATGTCTTTTGCCCTAAATTTTTAGTGTTTTCTTTTTTTCCCCCATTTTCCTATGTTTGAAGATTATTTTGTTCTCAAAAAAAAAATATATTCCTAGTCTTCGCATTTGTAAATTTAAATATATAATGTTAAGAGACACAAAATCCCCAAGAAGAGAGTGAGAGAATGCAAAATAGACTTTAATGCAAAATATTAATGTATCGTCACGAATGTTTCGTTTCGTGAATACTGCAAAATTTAATTATTGACATGGAATAATAACAAAAATATATCTTACCTAAAATAAAAACACAAAAAAATAATAAAATTATTTTATTCTCAGATTTTCTACAAGATACATTTTTTGTTTATCTTTTTTTTTTTTTTTTTGCTGTTGTATATTTTTCTTCGTCCCCGTTTTTTTTTCTCCCGAGAAACGAGAGAAATTGATATTTTCCATTAGAGAAATAAAATTCGTCAGCATTTTGAAGTATACATCTGATTTGATAAGAAAAATACATTTTCAGACATTATTATTGTGGAACAAAAGTTATTGAATACAAAATACCTATATACACTGTATTCTTTCTTGTAAATAATATATTTCTATTTTAATTAATAAAATCTCTTTTTTGCTTTTGTATAATATTTATATATATACATTTATTATATATATAATATATATATATATATATATATATATATATATATATATATATATACAGGATAGAATGCTGCGAGGTCAATAATCAATTGCTCCACATACATATATTACAACCCTCTATTGGTTTTGCAAAAGCAAGTACCATCGACTTTCATATTTGTGGATAGAGAAATCGAATGATGATATATGATATCTCTATTTGTATTCTTGAATATCTATTTAAATATAAATATATAATTTTATACACAAATATGTGATGGAAACAAAAAAAGTGCGTAATAATTTTATGAGAATTCTATTAATAATATAATCGAGAAATAGTGATATATTGTGGTATGTATATCTGGCAATGAGTTAATGCACTGGATATCCTAATTACATGATTAACTTTCAATAAACTGTTATTACTTCTTTTATAATATCCATTCGATTGCAAATTTCCATTAGCTGCGAAATATCGAACTATGCGAGTGAATTATTTAATATCTATACTTGCTTTTTAAGCATGCACGCGTTTATTGTTTACTTATGAATTTCATCTCGTTTACTAATGCTTTTTTTATATACCTATATGTTTATATCAATCTTAACAATGTTTCCTTTTGCGATTATTCATTTTGTCTGTATTGTTCAGTTTTACACAATTATTTATTTATTATTATTATTATTTATTTTTTATTTATTTGTTTTCTATTTTTTTATTTATATTATTTAGTAGTAGTATTAGTTATGATTTTTAATCTTTTTTAATATATGTCATATAAGGCCAAAACAAATAGAAGAGTTTTTTTTATTCACTTTTCTAAACTGAAATTATTATTACTATATCTATTATTTTTGTAAACCATTATTGCTTAATTATTATTTTTATTTTAATTATGGTATTATTCTCTATATTTGCATTAATTAATGAATTACATTTTTATGCGTTTAACATAAAAGTAAATTTCTTGCATTCATTGTCTTTACTTATTGCATATTAAAATATTTATTATGTGCTTATTGCCTATTTGCATATTTTACTGTTCACATTGTACAAGGTTGCAATTAATAATTTTATATTTTATATTAACATTAGTAAGAAAGTAACTCTTTTTGTAAAATTATAAAAAAGGACATAAAAACAAAATTTTACAATCGTATCAGATTTTCTCTAAAGTGACACTTACAAAGTTTTAGATGATAATACTTTTAATATGTACGAATAATTTAATCATTAAATAAATTTGAAATTGTTTTTTTTTCAAAAAATTAGTCAAATATAATTAAGTACCTAATAGTAAAATAATTAGGTACGAATTTAGTCAGTAGTAATTAGTGCTATTACTAATTACTATTTATACTTTTTTCTTTTTTTTATAGTTTTTATTTTTATTCTAATCAGTATTAAATTAATTTAGTATTTAGAGAATTTATAGTGTTTATAGTATTTATAGTATTTATAGTATTTATAATTCATACTAATTATTCAGTAACTAATTAGTATATTTTCTACGATTTTGTATTAGTCTACTACTAATTAGTAGTAGTAGACTAGTATTTTCTAACCAAGTAGTATTTTCTGGTGTTCATTAGTACGTTTCTACTGCAAATTAGTATTTTTTCTACTTATTAATACTAGAAAGAAAGTAATTTTGTTTTTGCAGAAAGATACTAATAAGTAGGAGGAAATACTATTTAGTTGTAGAATGATGCAAATTCGTAGTAAAAAAATTACTAATTTAGTTAGTAAGATTACTGACTAAAACAGTAGTAGGAAAATACTATTTTAGTCAGTAAGTTTACTAACTGAAATAGTATTTTTTTACTACTAATTTGCACAAATATAACTACTACTAATATAACTACTACTAATAGTAGTATCTCTCTACTACTAATTAATATTTTCCTACTATTAGTTAGTTCCATTTTACTATTAAATAGTACTTTCTAACTAATAACTTACTTTTACTACAAATTAGTAATTTCCTACTAGTAACTGGTTCTTTTTAATAATAATTAGTAGTTTCATACTTAACGTTGTCTTTTACAACTAATTAATAATTTTCGCCTACTAATTAGTTGTTTTCTACTACAAATAGCTTTTAATTACTAATTAGTACTTTTTTTACCACTATTTAGTAGTTTCCGTCAAATTAGTACCTCTTTACTACTAGTTAGTAGTTTCCTACTAATTACTACATTTTTAGTACTGGTTAATAGTGTCCTAATAATTAATACATTTCTACTACTAGTTAGTTGTTTTCTACCAATGGCTAATTGTTTTCCTCATCTCATTAGTATATTTCTGCTACTAAATAGTAATAGTACAAATAAATAATAAAAAATAAATAAATTGTAGTTTTCTACCAATAAATAATTATTTTCTTCGACTAATTAGTATATTTCTGCTACTAAATAATAATAGTAAAAGTAAATAGTAAAAAAAAATAGTAGCTTTCTACTACTAATTAAAATTTTCTACTACTAATAAGAAGTAAATATAACAAGCTAATTAGCGAATATTTTTAATAAGTTATCAATATTCAATCTTTATTATAATTTTAATAGTGACAGATACATTAAAAAATTTTTTTTCCAAAAAGAATGTGCCATTTTATTATTTTTATTTTTAATTGTAAAATGAAATATAAGAAGAGTTAAGGATCTATATAATGGGAGATAATGAACGAGAGTGGAGTTTTGGAGAAATGTAATAAAAGTTAGAGGTTTGTTGAGCGCTTGTTGATTTTCTTCCTCTACTATCGGGCGGGCAACGATTTCTTTGGTGCGCTCGACTTGAGCGTCCTTATAAAAGCGAGGGCTGCCTGCGGAGGATTTCAGTAACTATCATGCGCAGCACAGCTAAACTGACAGTGAGTAAACTTACTACCAATGACGTCATATCTAGCATTCTCTGGAGTACGCGCAACTTTTCTCTTTTTTGTTTCTTTGCAAAAAAAAAAAAAAAAAAATAGTGAAAGATACATTCAAAATTTAATTTTTAAAAATTTCTTTTTCCAAAAAAAAAATTTCATTTTTATTTTGTTATTATTATTAATTATTAATATTACTATGACTATACCTATTATTTATATTTTCATTATTATTATTTTTTTTATCTCCCTTATTAATATTTTTAATTTAATATCATAATCTTATTGTTGTTTATTTATTTCAAATAAACTTGACAAGTTATTAATGGCTTTAAAATTTTTTTTTAATTAATTTTGAGAAACAGTTTACTCTTATTCTGTAAATATAAAAATATTTATTGTTTCTTAAAACAAAACAACATTTTTTTGTCTTTGAAAATTATTTTTAACTTCTAAGAAAAATAAAATACTGCATAATTTTATATTCCTTAAAAATTAAAAAAAAACTACACTGACATTTTTTTATTTTATAATTGTTTGTTTGATTGAATTTAATTTGTTTTAATAAATTACATTCTAACTTGTTGCAAAATAATGTGTAAAACTAATTATAGTAATAACAATAACAATAATAATAATAATAATAATAATAATAATAATAGTAACAAAAATATGAACATAGAAGCTTGGATAAATAATATTATTTATTAACAGTGAGAAAATAATTTGAAACCGTTGTGGCTCAAAGAAATATTTCAAATAATTAAATATTTATTATGCCAATTAATTAGAAAAATAATTTTATTAAAAAATAGTTTTAAAGAACTAATAAAATATCAATAAGAACAGCTCGAATAATTAAGAAAATTGAACCAATTATTTTGCACAGTTAGCTTGCCAGTGTCAAATTCATACAAATTTTTAAATTAATTAATTATCCCAAATTAAATAAGCAATGGAACAAAAAGAATTCAAAATTTTGTAAAAAAAATAACAATAATAATTAATATTAAAAAAAAAATTTGTTTTCTCTTAAAAAATTTAATATTGATAAAAATTCCTCATTAAACAAAAATTTTCATTATAAAAAAAAAATTTTTTTATTCGCAAACATTTCTCAATGAGATAATTCCTCGTTGCGTTGGCAAAATTTTTAATTGGCGAAATTCCTCATTGAAATAATTCATCAGTTCTACGAACATTTTTTATTTTACAAAAATTTCACTCTGGCAAAGATTTTTATTAAAAAAATTCCTCATTGTCAACATTTTTCATTTGTGCAAATTTTTTAATTCGACAAATTTCTTATCGCAAAAATTTTTCATTTCTCATTTTTTTTTGTTATTGATAAAATTCTATTTGGAAAAAATTCTCCTTGGCAAAATTCCCTTTTGGAAAAATTTCTCCTTGACAAAATTTTACATTTGAGAAAATTTTTTATTGGAAAAGTTTTTCATTGGTAAAATTCCTCATTGGAATATTTTCTAATTTGCAAAATTTTTCTCCTTGTAAAATTCCTCATTGGCAAAATTTTTCTATTTGGAAAAATTGCTGATTGGACAGATTTTTCTCCTTGAAAAAATTGTTTATTAGCAAATTTTCCCATTAATAAAATTTTTCAATGGAAAATTTCCTCATTGAAAACATTTTTCTAATTGGGAAAATTGCTTATTGCAAAATTTTCTCGTTGTCAAAATTTTTTACCCCAATACATTTTTTTTATTAGTAAATTTTTTCATTGGTCAAATTCCTGTTTTTAAAGTTTTCCATTGTCAACATATTTCACACATTGGAAAAATTCCTCATTGGAAAAATGTTATTTCTAATTGTAAAATTTCCGATTAGAATATTTTTTCCATCAAAAAAATTGCTTATTGGTAAATTTCCCCATTAATAATATTTTTTAGAAGAAAATTTCCTTTATTAAAAATATTTCTCTTTAGAAATTTTTTTTTATTGACTAAATATTTTTAATTGAAAAAATTGTTCTTTTGGCAAAGTTTTATATTTACAAATTTTTTGACCGTCATTATCTTAATTATTGTTACTATCATCATAATTATTAACATTATCATTATCATTATCATCATTATCATTAATGATACCATTAATAATATTTTTCAGAAGAAAATTTCCTTTATTAAAAAATTTCTCTTTCTAAATTATTTCATTGACTAAATTTTTTTAATTGAAAAAATTGTTCTTTTGGCAAAATTTTACATTTACAAATTTTTTAACCGTTGTTATCTTAATAATTCTTACCATCATCATAATTATTATCATCATCATTATCAATATCATCATAATCGTCTTTATCTTCGTCATTGTCAATATCATCTTTATCATCGTCATTATCAATATCATCAATAACATAATTATTTTCATTATCATCATCATTATCATCTTCATCAATATCATCATTATCATCATCATCATCATCTTTATCATCTTCATCATTGTCATTATCATCATCATCATCATCATCATCATCATCATCATCATCATCATCATCTTTATCATCAATATTATTATTATTCCCATTATCATCAACATTATTATTATTATTATTATCATCATCATCATCATCATCATTATTATTATTCCCATTATCATCAACATTATTATTATTATTATTGTCATCATCATCTTCATCATTGTCATTATCATCATCATCATTATCATGAATATTATTATTATCATCATAATCATCATCATTATTATGATTATTAATATTGTTCTCATTATCATCATCATATTCATCAGCATCACCTTCATCATAATTTCTACCAACTTTACTAATAAATTAATTTTCCTAATAAAGGCGATCCTCCTGGTCGGCCTCTTGGCCGTGGCCTTTGCCGAGGATAAATTGAAGAAGGACACAAAACCAGAAATCAAAAAGGAGGACAAGCCCAAGAGAGGATTGGATCATGTCCTGGGTGATCATGGTGGTATTGGCGTAGGTCTTGGTGGTATTGGCGTCGGTCTTGGTCTCGAAGGTGGATTAGGTCACACCGAGCACATTGAAACAGAACACATTAAAGCTGTGACAATAACAAAGCACATTCACGTGCCACAACCATATCCAGTGCATGTCGATAAGCACGTGCCAGTTCCAGTTAAAGTTAAAGTACCAGTCAAAGTCGACCGTCCCTATCCAGTACATGTCCCAGTTCCAGTTCATGTCCCAGTTGAGGTACCATACCCAGTGAAGGTGCCCGTCAAGGTTCCAGTCGAGGTACACAAGCACGTCCCATATCCAGTCAAGGTCCCCGTTGTTGTCAAGGAACCATATCCAGTTTACGTTAAGGAGCATTCTCATCATGGCTGGGATCAAGGACTCGGTGATATCGGCAGCTGGGGTGGACATCATTACTGAGCTGTATTTTTAAATAATCTTTGCCCTATTATTGAAAAATTTCCCGGACTTGTGAAAATTTAGTGCAAGGAAGTATGAATTTTTAATTATATTTATATGTGTATCCTATGGATATAGAAATTTTTTCTTACAAAATCTCTTGTTTCTTTTTAATTCATTTTTTCAATTGATCTTTTTGGTCCTAAATTCGATGGACATTGAAATTCTTTGTCCGGGTGTTAGATTTTTAGTTAATTAATTGTTTTCCGGCGATGATAAAGCTGGATTGTTTTGTACTTGATGAAAAAGAAAATAAAAATATGTGAACTCGTGCGAAATAGATCTAAGTTGAGAAAAACACCAATAATGTATTCATTGTGATGTAAATTGGAATGTAAAATATTTGTATTTTTTTCTACACGAATAAATAGAAGTGAATACTTTTTATTTAAGAAAAGGAAGATGGTTCTCTTCTCTCCCTCTTTTTTTACTCTTTTTCTCTCTCCACTTTTTCATATTTTTTATTACAATTATTTAACCTGGAAACCTGGCTACTTGTAATATAATTCGAACAGAAATGAAAGTAATTTCAAATTTTCTTTGATTGCTTCTGGAATATCGTCTAATTCCAACGAAGTGTTTGTTTAATTGCGTTTATTAGGAGTAATAATTATTATTATCATCTTAAATTATAGCGAAATTCCCAATAGAGACATAATAAGTCGTAGGAGGAAAATTAATATTATTATTATTGTTATTATTATTATTAGATAATTATTTTCAAAGATGTGTTTGATATTGCATTGTTGAGAGGGTTTTGGCGCCATACTTATAATTGTTATCCGGACGATTCGCTTCGTTAACGATTGTTTCGACATTTCCTTCAACATAGAGTCGAGTTTTCATGTAAATGAGAAGGAGGAAGACTTTCGAGGAGCGTTTGTCTCGCCTACAAGTGAAGCTGCTCATTAACTCACCGCTAACTGCTGAATAGATGGTTCTTTAGTGTGATCGCACCTACGTGTCTAGTTTCATATATTTATACATTACAACAGTCTGCTTCCAATAACCTCTTCTAATGATTATTTATCTTGTCAAAATTTACACTAGGTAGTTTACTTATTTACAATATCACATCTATTATTAACATTACCAATATTAATTATTTTTTATTATTATTTTTTACCATAATTTTATTTTTATTATTATTTTTATACTGTTATTTTATTTTTATTTTACTATTTTTACTGTTAATTAAATTCCTAAAAAAAATTTATTATTTAGAAAAATAATTAAATGATTGGAAAGAACTTAAAAAAAAATTTGTTAATTGAATTCCTGTGAAATTTTAATAACTGGATTTTTGAATAGAATTTTATCAAAATTTTGTTTAAATAATTGAATTTTGTTGGATAATTTTATTAAAATAGTCAATATTGAAAATCATTAAATTGAGGAAAAGTTTTTTAAATAATTGAAATTTTGCTAAGTATTTTACTAATATTTATGAAAATAATTGAATTTTAGAGAAGAATTTTATTATTTATAAAAATAATTGATATTTTGACGAGAATTTAAAAAAATTTGTTGAATATAGTTGAATGTTTGCGAAGAATTTTATTATAATTTTATTAAAATTTTCTTTAAATAATTCAATTTTTTTGGGAAATTTTATTAAAATAGTAGATATTGAAAATCATTGAAATTAGAAAAATGCATTTTATTTTTGAAAATAATTGAAATTAGGACAAGAATTTTATTGATATTTTTAAAAATAATTGAACTTTGGGGAAGAATTTTGTTATTTATAAAGATAATTGGGATTTTGACAAGAATTTTTTTTTTAATTTTGAAAATAATTGAAATTATGACACGAATTTTATTGACATTTTTGAAAATAATTGAACTTTGGGGAAGAATTTTGTTATTTATAAAGATATTTGGGATTTTGACGATAATTTTTTTTTTAATTTTGAAAATAATTGAAATTAGGACACAAATTTTATTGACATTTTTGAAAATAATTGAACTTTGGGGAAGAATTTTGTTATTTATAAAGATATTTGGGATTTTGACGAGAATTTTTTTATTTTTAATTTTGAACAGAATTGAATTTTATGAGAAGAATTTTATTAATTTTGAAAATAATTGAATTTCGGCAATTATTTGTAATTTCTCCAAAACTGAATTTTTTTTAGTATTTTTAACAAAAATCTGGAGAATTTTTTATTCATTTTATAAAAAATATCCAAAAAAAATTAAAATATTGCAAAGGGACATTTTTTTGGCATTTTTTGCAAAATGAGTCGAAAATTCTCGAGACAGAAAATAATAAAAAACAATTTTTTTCTTCGATTTTTGGAGACAGAAAATAGTAAATAATAAAATTTTTTATTTTTTTCAACGATTTCAGTAGTTAAGGGATGGAAAATAGAAGAGGGGACTTGATAAAATTTAAAATAGTGGAAAAAGTCTGTTTTTCTAAATCTATGATTTAAGATATATATAGAAGACACCCCTAGGGATATTTGAACAGCAGGCGAGCAATTCGCTTCCGAAAACAACATTCTCTCTACTGTCTCTCTCTCTCACTCTCTTTCTCTCCATCCACCATCCTGTATTTTGATGCTTGTGCACAGAGTCTCGTTGAAACTGAAAGTCTCCCGTTGGCGTAAATGATCTCTCTATAGAGCAGCGTCTCGAAAGTGAACGCTGGGGCGGGTCGAAAGACGTAAGAATATATTACTATTACGCTATTACTATTACGCGTTTCTATTCAACATTACATTATAAAGAAAGTCGCGTAACACAAAAATATTCGACCCATTTTTCATTAGGTTTCCTTTTTTTGTCTGCCATTTTTTTTTCTTTCCTCACTTTGACATCGTTAATAAATTACACACTTTTCTTTTCGCTCTAAACAATAAATGACTCGACTTTTGTTGCGTCGACAAGAAAAAGTGAAAAAAAAAGAAAAGATTATGTGAAATGTGTTCTTAAAACTGCTTTTCATTGAAAATTTTCTTTTTTAATTAAAAATAATGATAATGTTGAGGATAATTATTTTTTTTGATGAATTAGACCATGAAAAGAATGTGTTTCTATAATAAAAAATAATGTAACAATAAAATATTTCTTATGCGAATAATTAATAATAATTAATGATATAATTATAAAATTTATAAATAATAAGTTACAAAAAATGAGGTAATAAAAAATAGTAAAGTAATAAAAAAAGGTATTAAAAAATAATAAGTAATAAGTTAATAAAAAGAAGTTAAAATAACTAGTTATTTTATTTGGAAAATTAAATTTGTGACAAGAAATAAATAACGCAATTAAAATAATAATTGATGATACAAGTAATAAAAATATTGTAACGATATTTATATAAATATATTCATAATTATTTTAACGATTGATGAATATAATAAATGTTTTAACGATATTTATAAATATATTAATAAATATATCTTAACGATTGATAGTTGTAATAATAAATATTTCAACAGTAGATAAATATAATAATAAATATTTTGATGCTTGATAAATATAATAAATATAATAATAAATATTTTAACGGTAAATAAAATAATAAACATTTTAACACATGATAAGTATCCCTAATAAATATTTCAAAGCTTGATAAATATAATAATTAACAATAATTTAATGCTTGATGATTATAATAATTAAAATTTTAATTTAACACATTATCATATAACTTCTGTTCGAAATAATAAATATTTTTGACGATTTTTATAAATAATGTAACAAATAATAAATTTTGAATATAGACATAAAGTGAAATAAATAAATTATAAATTGAATTGAATTTAATTATTTTTAAATAAAGTTACGTGAGATTGATAAATAGGGTAAAGTAAATAAAGAAGAAAAATACTAATGAGATACAAAATGACATGCCTACGCAAATTTTGCAAGCTATGACTCACTGGAGTTGAAATTACAAATAATAATAAATAACACACAGAATTCCAAAGCAGTTATTAAAATTATGGAATTATAACTTAGCAAAAAAATAAAAAAAAAAAAGTAAATTGAAGCATTAAGAAACGATTTTCCATAGCTGGCTGGTGTATATTGAACGATAAACAAAATTTCATAATTTTAATTATCATATCTTCAATATACATTTCCGCTCTAACGAGAGTAAAACGAGAGCGACTGTAGGATTACACGATTACAGTAAATAAAATAAAGGAATAATATACAATTTTTAATTTTTTTATTCTAATTCTTTTTTTATTATCAGTTTTCTTAATTTATTCAATAACTATTTTTGTCATAATTTTTTCCATTTTAATTTTTTTTTTAAAATTATTGTTTTCTTAGTTTTATTTATATTCTATTATTAATTTATTATACTAAACAAATTTATTTGATTGAAATAACCGATCACTTGTTTATTATTTATAATCTATATTAAAATAAAAGTAAATATTTAGTTAAATAAAATAATTTTTATTTAAATCAAACATAAGTTTGTTTTTCAATAAAATAAAATATTTTTACTTAATTATTATTGTATTAAAAAAAAAACATTTTCTTTTTATTAAAAAAAAGAATAATCTCTTTTACCTAAAAATAATTGTTTACAAGATCATTATTTTTCACGTAAAAAAATTAATTTTCTAAAAAGAAAGTAAAATGAGAAAATACTTTTGTAATGTGATCTAAATTGTACATAGAAAACGTGAAATATAAGAATCAGGTATTATTAAACTTGTACATTACTGAGTCGAGTAATAATATATTTAATGAAGCAGGAAGTTCCGGTTATGTTGTAGAGAAAAAGGGGGCTGACGGAGGGAAAAAATTGTGCCTAACTTGTAAGAAGGAAAAATAATTTTCTCGCGATCAGTATCAAAGTTCAATTATGTTCATGTTTAAAAGCAGGACACAGAGACTGTGTTTATATAGACATTCTTGTTTTTTTTATTTCTTGTGTACATTAAATGTGTCAATTGTACAGCATGTTACCTTTCATTTGATCTCGCGCATATGATGCAAAAATTATTAAGGTGTGTGCATATGTGTGTATAGGATGCAAATCAATGTTGTGTGTTACAAAAAGGGAATGCAATCTTGCAAAAGGATATTTTTTTTGTATTTTTTGCAAAATGAGTCAGAAATTCTTAGGAGGGAAAATAATTCATTGTGAAGGCATTCGATTTTAATCAATGGAAAGAAAATTGGATAGTTGTAAGTCGAAAGAAATTGTTCAAGCAAACGGAAAAAATACGTCGCGTCGTAACAACTTAATTGTTCAAGAAAACGAAATAGTTGGAATAATCAGAAAAATAGTTCTGGCAACTAACAAAGTAATTATGACAACTAATGAAGAAAAGTATCACGACATTTATGACAATTAAGGAAATAATTATGACAACTAAGGAACAAATCTATGACAATTAACAAAGTAATTATGACAACTAACGAAGAAATTTATGAAGAAATTTATTTTTTTTAACAAAAAAATATATGAAAACGAAGATATTTGTGACAACTAACAAAAGAATTTATAACAACGAAATAATTTATAACAATTAACGAAGTAATTATGACAACTAAAGAAGAAATTTATGACAACTATCGAAGTAACTTTGACAGCTATCAGAGTAATTATGACAACTAACAAAGAAATTTATGACAAGAAATGTATGAAAACAAAGATGTTCATGACTACTAACGAATTAATAATAACAACTAACAACGTAATTATGATAACTAACGAAGAAATTAATGACAACAAAAAAATGTGTGACAACGAAGAAATGTACAACAACTAACAAAGTAATTATGGCAACTAACGAAGAAATGTACAACTACTAATGAAATAATTATGACAACTAACAAAGTAATTATTACAACTAACGAAGAAATGTACAACAAGCAATAAATTAATTATAATGCCTTTGTTATGACAACGATCATACTGTTGACATAATAATTAAACAATTTTGACAACTAAATTTCAGATAAAAAGTTACAAGAACTGAAAAAATATTTATGATGAAAAAATTTAAGCCAACTTGCTTCAAGTTTGCAACAACCTCACAGCAAATTTGTTTAGGTTAAGAGCAAGATAAATAAATTAAAAATAAATTGTTTTCCTCAAAACAAGAAATAAACACTACAAAGAAATTGTATTTAAACTCAGTAAAAAAAAAACCGTTGATTTATTATTACGATATTTTTCCTCTCATGGAAAACGTTTAAGAAAAATAGTACACGTATGTAATCAGAAATTCCCATACGATTACTTTGCACTGGGTAAAATTGTGAAAGAGTTGTGGATCTTTATCGAGGTTCTTCTGTATTCTTTCTCATTTTTTTCTTTTTTTTTTTTGAGGAAAGAAGCGATTTTTCAAGAATATCTCTTGTCACAATGGATGATATTAATCATGCTCGAAAGACAAGGAACTCGAGAGAAGAATCGAAAGCCTTTAAAGCCTTTCACGTTATATCCCGTTGTATAGTCGGTATAACAAAGTTACGTCAAGTGCCCATATGTCTATAGAATTGAAGTACAATGTTACGACATAGAGCAAACGTGAAACTATGATTTCCGGCAATGCCAACGGGAATACGAGAGGGGTGATTGTTCAATTTTGTCTATACACATGAGTGGCACGAATTTCTCCTCGTTTACTCCCTACAAAATATATACATATATATATATATATATATATACAGATACATATTTTAAAGTTTCAATGTATACTATATATGTACACTATGAATACTAAAACAAGATATAAATCTCTGGGTGATAACAAACTAATCGATTCGTCATATGGACATTTATTTATATTTATGTATATCTAATGTTGGCCTGCGTGCGAGAGAAAGTCCAACGGAAAAGGAAAACTATTAAAAAGTGGTGTGCTTTAATATTACCAGTTTTTACATTGTTGTTTGATCATATGTATTGCTTTTTTCTTTAATTTCCAACACTTCCTTTTTCTGTTGAAATATGAGAATTTGTATCAAGAGAGTATTTTATTGCAAAAAAAAATAAATAAATAAATAAACGAGAGAAAATAATTTTTCTTTTAGAAACGTTATGATGTAATTTATATGTGAATTAATTCTGTACAAATTTGGATATTTTTGTCGGTATTTTATGGAGAATTATTATCCAACTGATAGAGAATAGTTATGCAATTTAGTGATAACTATTACACAACTAGTAAATATTTATTATGTAAATTATTAATATTTATTATGCTCTCTAAATCTGAATTAGTAGAATTCTACTAAGGAATAGTAAAATTTGACTAATTTTTAGTAGTTTTCATGGACGACTTTTTCCCTTTTCAATTAGTAGAATATTACTAATTCTTAGTAAAATTTTACTAATGTTTTAGTAGAAATTCACTAATTAAAAGTCACTCATTTCACTAAATGAATTAGTAAAACTGTTTTATCGACTATTAATAAAACAGTTCTACTAATTGTTAGTAGAAATCTACTAATCAATTAGTAAAATTCACTATTTGTTAGTAATATATTACTAAATCATTTGGTGGACGACTTTTCGCCATTTCATTAGTAACTTTTTACTAATTCAGATTTAGAGAGTGTAACTTATGAATATTTATTATGTAACTTCTAAATATTTATTATGCAACTTATGAATATTTATAATAAAATTTATAAATATTTATAAAACAATTTATGAATATTTTTCGGCATTTTTTTAATATTAACTTATTTATTTTACAACTAGATTAATATTAATTAAGCTATTTCACAGAAAATTAATTGCAATTTCCGCAGAAATTATAGAAAATTGTATATGAAATTTTTGGCAATTAAAGTTGCTAAATAAGTAGCTAAATCGTTAGGAAAACTAATATTGAATAGTTGTGGTAACTAATAATTAAATAGTTGAGTCAACTTATTTAATAATTGTAATAAATAATAATTGAATAGTTATGGCAATTAATAAAAAGTGGTGATAATTAATTTAAGATATGATAAGTGATTAAATATGATAAACAATAGAAAGAGGTGACAATTAATTAAGTATACAATTAAAAAAAATAATTATATAATTATGAAAACTTACCAAATAATAATACATAGCTGCCACAGAGCCTGGAAATCCTGGAAAAAGTATGGAATTAAGAAAAAGGTATGGATATCCTGGAAATATTGAATAAAAAAAAATATTTAAAAATATTCTATTGCTAGAACAATTCTAATTAATGTCTGGGTCCTCATAATTAATTTAATTCACAATTCATAAAAAGTAACCACAGCCGATAATCAGCAGAAGATGAAAAATTATTTTTTAAGCGAACTTTATTTTGATTAATTAAATTAATTAATTAAATTAATTTTGATGAACCAGATATTAATTGGAATTGTTCTAGCAATAGTTTAGGACCAGTAAAAAATATTTTTACTAACAAAAACAAAAAATAAAGTTCGCTTAAAAAATAATTTTTCATCTTCTGCTGATTATCGGCTGTGGTTGCTTTTTATGAATTGTGAATTAAATTAATTATAAGGACCCAGACATTAATTGGAATTGTTCTAGCAATAGTTTAGGACCAGTAAAAAATATTTTGTAAGTGAAAGTGAAAATATATTCGTTGAAATTGAAACTAAAAAGTTTTTCATTGAAAGTGAAAATATTTTTTGTGAAATTGAAAGTCAAAATATTTTGGGTGAAATTGAAACTGAAAATTAAAATAAAAATTTTTTTAGAAGTGAAAACTCTTTGTGTGAAATTGAAAGTGAAAATTTTTTAATTGATAGTAAAAGTAAAAATTTTTTTTGGTGGTAGTGAAAATATTTTGGGTGAAAGTGAACATTTTTTTATTGATAGTGAGAATTTTTTGAGTGGAGGTGAAAATTTTGTGGGTTAAAGCGAAAATTTTTTGCAATAAAGTGAAAATTTTCTGAGTGAAAGTGAAAATTTCTTTTATAAAATTGAAAGTGAAATTTTTTTGGGTGAATTTGAAAATGAAACTTTTTTTGAGTGAAAGTGAAAGTTACGTAAATGCACCCTCGGGAACAAGTTTAATGTTTAATTCTGACATGAAATTTCAATTTAAAAACTTTGAAAATCAGAAAGCTTTAATTTAATATACTATTTATATTTTTATATTAACGATTTTTAATCGAATTTGGTTAATTTTAAAAATATAAATGACAACTGTGTCAACATTGTTGTTTTCAGTGAATAAAAGTTTAAATAAATTTTATTTTTATTCAATAAATTGAAAGACGAAGATTTTTGTTTAATTTCCTTTACTTTTTTGCGATAAAAGTGGATTATTGAGTTTTTGAATTATTTACAAGTGTTGGAAATTTAATTCACCAGTTAAGGTCGGTGGAGTAAAATATTGACACACAGTGTCTTAACTCACTGTTGAAACAGCTCACTTGCGAGAATCAATTCAGTGTTCTCAAATTAAACAAACTTGCTAAACTTTATGATCAACATTTGCTATAGGTTTCCTGAGAAGTTTTCTTAAGTTCTCTTGTGAAATTATGTTTCTTGTAAGTTACATGAAATATTGAAGAACTTGGAGAACATTACACTTTTTCTTTTCAACTATCCAATACTGCTGTACAAAAAAGAAACTACAGATCCAATATTATTTTTTTTGAAAAAAATTGCAGAACTATGAAACCTTTAAATTAAATTAATAGAATTTGATTGTAAAATAATTAAAAAACAATTTCTGAATAAATCTAGAATAAATTTTCTAATATTTAGGTAAATATTTGAAAATATAAATAGATATTAGAAAATATAAAGAAATATTAGAATATATAAATAAATATTCTTGTATTCTTTAATAAAAAGTATATTGACAAAGAAAAAATTATTTTTATTTTCTTTGAATGTAAACTATATGAATAACTTTTCACACTTGTTGTGTTGAATATTTTTTTTTTCTTTGACAGAATCAAAAAGCTTGTTGTGTGCTGTTTTTTAAAAAAAAACCCAAGAGCAATTGAAAATCCGATGATTTTCACATCAACGCACGAACGAACTACATGAATTTGAATTGAATGTTTTTAAACAGATCCTGCGTTCAACATGGTGTGTCACGTTCATATGTCGATTTGTTTGTTTATTCATGAAAAGATCACGAACTGTTACGATATTACTCATTGTGTTCTGAAATCCTCACAACGTTGGCTTCTGTTTACTCGAAAATCGCGTAATTCGCGCGTTCATAGACAAAAAGCAAAAGGATACTGTTGCGCGCTTTATGTAAATATATGAATATAGCATATAGTGAAAAGGAGAGAAAATAACAACAAACATGTTGATTTTTTAAATAAACAATTGAAAAATACGTGAAAAATTAAAAAAAAAATCAATTTTGAAAATTTTTAGAATTTTTTTGATAAAAAGAAATACGTTCTTTGAAAATATTACAATACTCCATATTTATGAAAGACAATTTTTTAAAATGAATGCCACAGAAATTTCTTTCTATAGTTTTTTTTTTAGAATTTTTCTAGAAATCTAGAATTTTCACTGATTTTAAAATTTAAATTAATGTTTAAATTTGAGAAAGGCAAATTGTAGTTAAAATTTTTTTCTAAATCGGAAATAAATTCTAAAAAAGTTCTGAGTTCCTCTGTGTTTTGGAAAAAGCTCTACTTTAATAAAAAAAAACTCCAATTTTGATGAAAAAAAGATCAAATTTGATATTTAGACACAAAAATTGTTTAAAAAAATTATAAAACCCAACGTCCAAGACACAAATTCTTTCTGAATCGGAAATAAATTCTAAAAAAGTTCTGAATTCCTCCGTCTTTCGGAAAAAGCTTTTCTTTAATAAAAGAAAGCTCCAATTCGATGAAAAAAAGACCAAATTTGATATTCGAACTCAAAAATTGTTAAAAGAAAATTATGAAGACCAGCGTCGTTTCTCAAGACACAAATTTTTTCTAAATCGGAAATAAATTCTAAAAAATTTCTGAATACCTCTATGTTTTGGAAAAAGCTCTTTTTAATAAAAAAAGCATTAATGTGATAAAAAACAGACCAAATTTGACAGTCGCTACCAAAAATTGTTCACGACACAAATTTTTTTCTGAATCGGAAATAAATTCTTAAAAAGTTCCAATTTTGATGAAAAAAAAACGAAATGGACATTCGACTCCAAAAATTGTTTAAAAAAATTATAAAGCCCAGCGTCCAAGATACAATTTTTTTCTGAATCGGAAATAAATTCTAAAAAAGTTCTGAATTCCTCCGTGTTTGGGAAAAAGCTTTTCTTTAATAAAAAAGCTCCAATTCGATAAAGAAAAGACAAAATTTGATATTCGAACTCAAAAATTGGTAAAAAAAAAAAATTATCAAGACCAGAGTCGTTTTTCAAGACACCAAGTTTTTCTGAATCGGAAATAAATTCTAAAAAATTTCTGAGTACCTCCGTGTTTCAGAAAAAGCTCTTTATTAATTTCATAATTAAACCACTTTTTCAGAAATTTCACTTTACAATTCCTTCCTGAAAGAGGTGAACATTGTAAAAAAAAATTCGTCTGACTGCATTAAGTTTGTACTACTGATTTTAAATAAAATGTGAAAAACTCTTAAATAAGTCAGGTGGAAACTATTTTGAATAAAAATATTTTTATTTATATCAGTAGTGAAATAAAATTTAGAAGTTATTAATAAGAAGTATTTAGTCTGGTAAAATATTTTTTTATTTTTTAATAAAAAAGAATGGAAATATTTTTGCTGAGATTAAATGTGAGGAATATGTATACACAACTAATTACAATAATTAATGTAATTTTCTCATGTTATGAAAATTGTAACAAATCGCTCTATTTTCGAGATATATAATCATTTGAGATAAGTTTTTAAACAGGCATCAAAAACATATTTGTAAATTACATTCAGAAATTGCTCGCACGTTGCGTATCATGTGTTGCATTATACACTTCATCTAGAACTCGAGTAACTATTAGAGCGCATAAACTGCACAACTTAGTGTTACACAAACACATGCATGTAATTAACTTCAGCTTACAACAAAGTTTAGAAATTTTTTTTTTCATTTTTTTATTTACCCCCCTCTCCTCAACTTGGAAATTAATTTTCCATATCCTCCTGATATTTATTATCATATGTATTAATGTATCCGGTTTTTTACCCCTTTCATTAAATAATTAAAATTAAATAATCAATATTAAATGCAATTTAATATACAAAGTACCAAGTGTATAATTATAATGATTTTTTCAATATTTTAAGAGCAAATAAAAAAGGAAGGAAATTGTGACAAGTTGTAACAGGCACGAATAATGACGATTGACCAATTCTTGTCGTACGTAGGTTATTATACAACTGGTGAAGGAAGGAAAAAAAATCAACACCAATAACTAGATTAATAGAGAAGTGAATGTCCACATAAATTCATTAAGGTATGGGTTTTATCATTTTTATAATGTATTATCGAGTTAGAGTCAATTTCATTGCACAAGGTTTCGTTGCGCTTGAAACTGTTGCAATGGATTGGAGTTTGCGATTTACAAATATTTAATGTCAAGTTTAGAATATTGATTGGCTTCAATTGACGTCAATAATAAACGAGTTAGATTTTTTATTTTCTTTCTTTTAAATATTGGTCGGTGTTTTGTAATATAATAATATTTGTCCTGTTTCAAACTTGACTTGATAAATAAAAAAAAAAGAGAGAAATAAGGAAGGAAAGAAAAATATATTTCGGCGGTATATATTATTACTATATTCAACAATCGATTTATGCGAAATTTTAGAGCAAGAAAGAGGAAATATTTCGAGGAAAATATTAGTTGAACGAGATGATGGAATAACTTGGGGAATTTCTTGTTAAATTCAATAAGGGGAAATATTTTCGAAAATCACTTTTTAGTTTCAGTGAATTTTTCAGAATTTTATTCTTTTTTGAAAAAACGTTGAAACGTTATTTATTGATATTTGAATTTTTTGGAAAAAATTGTGAGAATTGAGGAAAAAAAGAGTTGTCTGGTGATTATTGACTTTTACTACTGATGGCAAAATTACAATTTCAAAATACTCTGTCTGACTAAAATCGTGTTTCACTACTGATTGAAATTAAAACACTTTTTTAAAAATTTCACTC